TCTCTCACGCACACATACAGTCTCACAAGGAGAGAGAGAGAGACACACACACACACACACAGATGCACATACACACACACACACACACACACGCGCCCACAGCCGAACACACACAGCCGGAAAGGAAACACCGACCGGATGGCTTGGGGCGGGTGTAAATCACAACGGCTGGCGGCGCTCCGGCCCGCCAGGTCACCGCCACCACCACCACAACAACAACAACGTGCATTTACGCAGCGCTCGCCTCACGCGGGATAGCGCCCCAGAGCGCCCGACGGCGGGTGGTGGGGGGGGGGAGGGAGGGAACCAATCTCGAGCACTCACCTCCTCCGACACACGCCCCGTGGACCGCGACGATGACCGGCTTCGGGCACTGCAACAACACGGGGGCGGAGAGGGCTTTTACACCCGGCAGCGAACGCAGCCTCGAGCCCTGCGGCCCGCGCGCAGCCCGCGCGCAGCCCGCGCGCAGCCCGCGCTCGCTGCGCGCCAACCAACCGGCTCCTGCCAGCTTCACTGGATTACGCGCGTCACGTCCAACCCCCGCGACTGTTCGTGGGGGAGGTCGCCGGGCGCGATCGGCTGCCGGGTTTCGCCCTCGCACCGCACAGTCACTACACTTTGCGGTGTGTCCCGCCAAGCGCTTCGAGACGTCTCGAAGACGTGGTCGGGCGCCGGGTCACACGCCGGGATTGTTGTCAACCGAGGGGCGCGTGCGTTGTGTGTGTGTGTGTGTGTGTGTGTGCGTGTGGGGAGTAACAAAAGTGATCTGACCCGCCCGGGAATCAAACCCGGATCCTCTGGCTTGCGAGGCGAGGGGTCTAACCGCTGAGCTACAGGGGCTGTGGGGTGCGAGGCGAGGGGTCTAACCCCTGAGCTACAGGGGCTGTGGGGTGGGGCGAGGGGTCTAACCCCTGAGCTACAGGGGCTGTGGGGTGCGAGGCGAGGGGTCTAACCCCTGAGCTACAGGGGCTGTGGGGTGGGGGCGAGGGGTCTAACCCCTGAGCTACAGGGGCTGTGGGGTGGGGGGCGAGGGGTCTAACCCCTGAGCTACAGGGGCTGTGGGGTGCGGTGCGAGGGGAGGGGTCTAACCCCTGAGCTACAGGGGCTGTGGGGTACGAGGGGAGGGGTCTAACCCCTGAGCTACAGGGGCTGTGGGGTACGAGGGGAGGGGTCTAACCCCTGAGCTACAGGGGCTGTGGGGTGGGGGGCGAGGGGTCCAACCCCTGAGCTACAGGGGCTGTGGGGGGCGAGGGGAGGGGTCTAACCCCTGAGCTGCAGGACTCGGGCGGTGTGGGGGTGACTGTGTGACGGTTCCCACCTTCTCCAGGACAGTGAAGGTCTCCTGGTAACTGGTGATCATGTGGCGCAGGTTCCAGGCGATTCTGGCCACATCGTCCCCCTCCGGCCGGAGCAGGTCACCGGCCATGTCCACCAGGTCAATCCCTGTGGGTGCGACGGCCTTCAGTCCCGCGCGCCAACGCACACGCACCCACACGCCAACGCACACGCATCCACACACGCAAACGCACGCACACACAGACGCGCGCACAAGACAGACGCACGCACACGCAGATACACCCACACGCAAACGCGCGCACACACACACGCAGACGCGCGCGCACAGGCGGACGCGCGCACACGCACGCGCACACACACCCCCGCGCGGACCCCGCGCCCTCACCTGCGGTGAACACCTTCCCGGCTCCGGACACCACGATCACTCTGCAGTCGGCGTCTCGGGCCACTTGATTGAAGCACTCCACCATCTCCCTGTGGGGATCGGCCGCACAACGCACAGTCACTACGCCCCGCAGCGCGTTCCCGCGCAGCGCTCCGAGACGCCCGGGCGGCCCGCGCTGAGCCACCGGCCGGGATTGTCGTTTTCCGCGGGTCACGAACCGTAACAACGCACCGAGCGCCGAACGGTACGGCCACGACGACGACAACGCCGACAACTTGCCCTTATGCCGCCTTCCCTCCACGGCTCACAGCGCTCAGCAAAGGCGGGGCCCGACTCCGAGCTGCGGTGGGGGGGGGGGCAAGGCAGGAGGGAGAGGGGGGCAAGGCGGGAGGAGAGGGGGGGCAAGGCGGGAGGGAGAGAGGGCAAGGAGAGAGGGAGAGAGGGGGGTCAAGGCGGGAGGGAGGAGAGGGGGGCAAGGCGGGAGGGAGAGGGGGGCAAGAGAGGAGGGAGAGGGAGGGGCAAGGCGGGAGGGAGAGGGGGCAAGGAGGAGGGAGGGGGGGGGGCAAGGCGGGAGGGAGAGGGGGGCAAGGAGGGAGGGAGAGGGAGGGGCAAGGCGGGAGGGAGAGGGGGGCAAGGCGGGAGGGAGAGAGAGGGGGGCAAGGAGGGAGGGAGAGAGAGGGGGGCAAGGAGGGAAGGAGGAGAGAGGGGGGCAAGGAGGGAGGGAGAGAGAGGGGGGCAAGGAGGGAGGGAGAGAGAGGGTCAAGGCGGGAGGGAGAGAGGGGGTCAAGGCGGGAGGGAGAGGGGGGGGGAAGGCGGGAGGGAGGGAGAGGGGGCAAGGAGGGAGGGAGAGAGAGGGGGCAAGGAGGGAGGGAGAGAGAGGGGGCAAGGAGGGAGGGAGAGAGAGGGGGGGCAAGGCGGAGGGAGAGAGGGGGGCAAGGAGAGGAGGGAGAGAGAGGGGGGAAGGAGAGAGGGAGAGAGAGGGGGGGCAAGAGGGGTGAGGGGGGGGCAAGACGGAGGGAGAGAGAGGGGGGGCAAGGCGGGAGGGAGGGCTGTGTGTGTGTGTGTGTGTGTCTCTCTCCTTGTGAGACTGTGTGTGTGTGAGAGAGAGAGACCGTGTGTGTGTAACTGTGTGTATGTGTGTGTCTGTGTGTGTGTGTGACAGTGTGTGTGTGTGTGACTGTGTGTGTGTCTGTCTGTATGTATGTATGTGTGTGAGACTGTGTGTGTGTGAGACTGTGTGTGTGTGTGTGAGAGAGACCGTGTGTGTGTCTCTATGTATGTGTGTGTGTGTGTGGTGTGTGTGTGTGTGTGGTGTGTGTCTGTATGTATGTCTGTGTGTGTGTCTGTATGTATGTATGTGTGTGTGTGTGACTGTGTGTGTGTGTGGTGTGTGTGTGTGTGTGTGGTGTGTGTGTGTGTGTGTGTATGTGTGTCTGTATGTGTGTGTGTGTGTGTGGTGTGTGTGTGTGTATGTGTGTGTGGTGTGTGTCTGTGTGTATGTGTGTGTGTGTGTGGTGTGTGTATGTGTGTGTGTCTGGTGTGTGTGTGTGTGTGTGTCTGTATGTGTGTGTGTGTGTGTGTGTGTGTGTCTGTGTGTGTGTGTGTGTGTGTGTGTGTGTGGTGTCTGTGGTGTCTGTGTGTGTCTGTATGTGTGTGTGTGTGTGTGTGTGTGTATGTGTGTGTGTGTGGTGTGCGCGTGTGTGTGTCTGTATGTGTGTGTGTGTATGTGTGTGTGTGTGTGTGTGTGTGTGTGTGGTGTGTGTGTGTGTGTGTGTGTGTGTGGTGTGTGTGTGTGTGTGTATGTGTGTGTGTGTGTGTGTGTCAGTCTGACTCGGCCGCTCACACACTTGACCTCTGAGTCAGAAGGTTTGTGGCCTCCAAATGCGACGTCGGGGACTTTGAGCTCATAGTCCGGACAACGTGTTTTGTGGGTGAAACGTGGCAGTGAAGTGCCACAAACAGCAAAGCAGCACAGCCCCCACAGCTCAGGGGGTTAGACCCCTCCCCTCACACCCCACAGCCCCTGCAGCTCAGGGGTTAGACCCCTCGCCCCCCCCCCACAGCCCCTGTAGCTCAGGGGTTAGACCCCTCGCCCCCCACCCCACAGCCCCTGTAGCTCAGGGGTTAGACCCCTCGCCTCGCACCCCACAGCCCCTGTAGCTCAGGGGTTAGACCCCTCGCCTCGCAAGCGAGAGGACCCGGGTTCGATTCACGGGCGGGTCAGGTCAGGGGGGAACTTTGGGCAAGTTTCCTTACTCCCCCCACACACCCACACACCCCACACGCACACACACCCACACACAGACACACACACACACGCCTGATAATAATCCCTCAAGAAAAAGAAACGCAGTCACCAGACTACGCAGTGTATCCCGCGAAGGGCTTTGAGACGCCTCGAGGACGTGACCAGGCGCTGCATCGAATGCGAAGATGATTTATTATTATTATTAATATTATTATTAATATCAGTACCATTAAGTGCCTGAATTTTCCGTGCGGTTCTGCAGGGATAGACATGATCACCGCCTGTGACATCCGCTTGTGCTCGCAGGACGCGTGGTTCCAGGTCAAGGTCAGTCGGCGTTCCCTTCCGGGCGACGTCTTCCTCGAGGCCATCGCTGTCCCAGGCTCTGCTCCTCACCTCCCGGCGTCTCTCCGCACCATCGCCCCGGCCCTCGCCGGCCTCCACTGGCTCCCCGTCACCGAGCGGATCGATCTCGAGACCCTCTCGGTGGTCCACAAAGCCCTCCGTCCCCCGGCACCTCCCTCCCTACCTCCCTCGCCGCTCACACGCTCCCTCTCTATCCCTCTCTCCCCCCCTCGCCCCCTTCCTGCCCCATCTTCAGGTCCCGCCTGAAGACCTTCCTCTTCGGCCGGCACCTACGGTCACCTTCTCCCTCTCCCCCATCCCCCCCGTCTCGGCCCCGCGATCCGCAACAGTCAAGTGCTCTTGGTGGTGGGGTGGGGGGGGGTGAGATCCTGGAGGGCGAAAAGGGGTCATTAACGTTCCCCCCCGTTCCTCACCTACCAGGAAGTGGACGTCGGTCTGGCAGCTGATGTGGGGACTTTGCAACGTTTGCCGAAAGTCTTGGGAAACGCCAGGTAAGTTCCGGGTAACGCTCCCGGGTAACCTCCCCCCCCCCCCGGCCACCCCCCGCCCTCATCCCCCCCAAACGTCAAGGACTCTGAGCTCACAGCCCGGAGACGCAAGTCCTTCGGAAGAGACGTTAAACCTGACTGACTCGCTCCCCCCCCCCCCCCACCGTCTGTGCCCCGTTCAGGCGGACTTGAAAGATCTCGGGGGGCTGTCGGGGGGGGCGAGGGGAGGGGGTGAAGAAGAGGGGGTGATCGAAAGCACGGTCGGAGAGGGAGGGTCTTGGGCTCACACAGCGGGTTTCACTGGGGGTGTCTTGCAGGGATTATTATTATTATTATTATTATTATTTTCTCGTTTGCTGAGCAAACCCCCAGAGGGGCTAACATGGCTCTCTGTCTCCCCCCCCACCCCCGTCCGTCCGTGCCCCCCTGTTCTCCGTAGCCTGGTGTGTGAGCTGGCTTACACAGCGAGGAAGATGATGTCAGACGAGGCTTTGAGCTGCGGGTTGGTGAGGTAAAGGGGTCTCAACAACAAGCCGGGGGGGGGGAGGGGGAGGTGGGGGGGTGGGAGGGTGAGCGAAGGCGCTGTCGGTCGAAGAGGAGGTTCTTGAGATGGGCCTTGAAGGAGGCGAGGGAGGGGGGTGGTGGGGGGTGGTGGTGGGGAGCGAGACCGGGCGACTTTGGGGTGGAGTTCCAGAGGGTGGGATTGGGGAGGTGGGGGGTTCAATGGAATCCTACAGCGAAGTGCGGGATAAGGGGAGGAGTAGGAGAGACGATTGCTGGAGTGTTTGACTATCTCCCCTCTCCGTGCCGCCATCCCGACCCACCCCCCCCCCCCCACCCCACCCCTCCCCCTCGTTCCTTGTCCACAGCCGGATTTTCCAGGACAAGGAGTCACTCCTGGACGGAGCCTTCGAAATGGCCTCCGAAATTGCCAGTAAGAGTCCGGTGGCCGTGCAGGGAACGAAACACAACCTGATCTACTCCAGGGATCACTCGGTGAGGGAAGGTCTGGACTACATGGTGAGTGGGGCTCAGGAGGCAGGGAGACAACAACAACAACAACAACAACCACTTGCACAGGTGCCCCCACCCGTAGGGTAGGGTCTCGGAGCCTAGGGGAAGGAAGGAGGGGGGGGGGGGGGTGACCGTAGGCACACGGTGGAAGAGGAGGGTCTTCAGGCGCGACCTGAAGATGGGAAGGAAGGAGAGGGAGGGATAGAGGGAGGGAGAGAGTGACAGAGTTTCCAGGAGTAGAGGCCACTGATAGTTAGTGGGGTGGGGGGGGGCGCTGGAAGGGGAGGAGAGAGTGTCTCAAAACCACTGTGTTACAATGGGGGGTGGGGGGGATTGGCCTGAGTCGGGGGGAGTCGGGGGGGCTCGGCTGACCCGGGCCATTGACTTCCTATTTCCTGCTCCAGACCCACCCATTGACCATCGCTTCCAGTTTCTTGACCGAGACTCCCGTTGACTTCCTGTTTCCCGACCCCCCACCCCCTACCCCGACCCGACCGACCCCGACCCCCCCTTTGACGTTCTGTTTCCCCCCCCCCCCCCCCAGGCCACCTGGAACATGGCGATGTTGCAGACGGAGGACGTGGTGAAATCGGCTCAGGCGTCCATGGAGAAGAAGCTCCCCAAAGACGTGCCTTTTTCCAAACTGTGACGGCTCAGCTCCCAACCCTTCACCCTCTCCCCCCCCCCACCCCCACTTCCCCCCACAACCCCCCCCCCCACCCCCCAACAGCGCCATCCGATCCACATTGATTATGATCGACATCTCATCTTGCCACAGATACAGGTTCTGCCATCTACGAGGTGGTTCCGTTCAATGTAACTGTTCATTCCCCCCCACCACCCCCCACCACCCACGCACCCCCACCCCCACCCGTGTGTGTGTGTCTGGGGAGTAAGGGAGCTTTCACCTTGACCGGTCCCTCCTGGGGATCGAACCTGGGTCCTCGAGCGCTCTAACCAACCGATGCGCTACCAGATTGGGGCGGGGGTGGCGGAGGAGGGGGTAAGGGAATAATTGGGTGGGATGAAGGGGATGACAGGGGTTCTCTTCGGTCACCCTCCTACCCCCGCCCTCCGCCCCCCCCCGCCCCCCCGATCCCAACCCCCAGCTCGGGTCCACACCCCCCAGACCGTCCAGCAAACGTGGGACGTCACCGTGTAAAGGTCACGTTGTTGTTGGCTCGAGCGCTGTCGATGACCACCCGTCGGATGAGACCTTAAACCCAGCCTCACCCCCCACCCCCCCCCCCCACCCCACACCCCCCTCCTCCCCCACCAGTCCCTGACCCTCCCCCCCCCCCCCCCCCCCGTCCCCACACCACGGGACCCTCCAGTGCCTTTTTGAACCCATTGATCCACTCGGTAAAGTTTGTTCCCCTTTGCGATGTACCGCGGCTCCCAAGACACGCGTGTTTACTGACGCACACGCACAGGCTCGATCGGTCACACGTGCGGACGGACAGACAGACAGACAGAGAGAGAGAGAGAGAGAGAGATTGATCCCTAATGGTCGCAATATCGGCGATCGATCGCTTTGTCGTGTCGTTGAGGCGTCTCACAGCGCTTCGCGGGACAGACCGTAAAGTGACTGTGTCTTTGGTGGGCGACCGCGACGCACGGCGACGTCCCCGCGCAAACAGCCGCGGAGGGAGCGAGCGGTTTGTCCGTGTGGGGGTGGGGTGGGGTGGGGGGGGTTGTCAGAGCGGAAAAGATTCTCTTCCGAGGGAGATCTTTAACAGAGATCTTTAACGCCGGAGCGTAACAGCTGTTTAGTAGGAATAACCGGAATAATAAATAATCGTTTCTAAAATGGGGGTTTAACCCCCAGCGTTCGCAGCGAGTAGGCGAAGTGACTGTGCCGAGGCTTTCCCTGGCTGGCCCCCCGAATTCACGCCGCCAGGAGGGACGTGCGCCACGTTATCGCCAATAAAGATCATTTTTATGCCCAGGACTCGGCTTCCGGTTTCCTTCGACCCCCTCCGAAGCCCCCGCCCCGCGCGGGGTGGCGCCGCGGTTGACAACGACAACGACACAGCGTCTCATCGGGTCGTCGAGACGTCTCAAAGCGCTTCTCGGCCTTCGCCGGGAGACGAAGTGACTGTGTGTGTGTGTGTGTGTGTGTGTGTGTGTGGGCAGACGCGGCGTTTCCCCACAAACGGCCCTCGTTGGTCAGGACGGAGACAGAGACACCGGCATCCGATACAGCGCCTTATCGCGCCTTCGAGGCGTCCCGAAGCGCTTCGCGGGACACGCTGTCAGGCGTAGTGACTGTGCTTTGCGGGCGCCATCTCCCGCGCCCGCTCGGACGGGCGAGGGCCGGGGAGCTCGGTTCAGCGGGTGATTCACACCAAACGGAGCGCGTGACGATCGTGATCAGAAATTCCATTGTGTGATCAATAATTTTATTGATCACCGATTGGGAATCGACTCGACTCGGGATCGCCACCTGTCGGTCGCGTTGAGCCGTTGCACCGCCTCTGTCCTGACCTGTCGATCTCTTCCCCCCTCGGCCACGCCCACTGATTGACACCCGCTCGGACCAATCACGAGCGGAGGCCGCGAACCGGATTGGAGGAGAAGCAGTGACGCCCCGCCTCCACTTTTCCAACGCCAATGAAACGGTGCCCGCGATTGGACGGAGCGGGCGGGAGGGGGCGGGGAGAGCCGTGAGGAGCCACCAATGGGAGAAGCCGGCACGGACGACCGGCGGCTGGACGAAGCGAGGCCGGGCGGGAGGCAGCGCCCGATTGGTCAACGGAGGGGGGGGTGGGGGCGGGGCGGGACCGACCAATCGGAGGCGCCGAGACGAAGCGGGGGTTCGGGCCGGGCGGCGGCGGTTGGGAAAGGGCGGGAAGGGGAAGCGCGCGCGCGCGAGTGAGAGAGAGAGAGAGAGAGGAGATGAGGGGACGACGACGACGACGGCGACGACGCGGCGGCCATTTTGAAGCGAGCGGAGGAGGGAGGAAGCCTTCGGGGGGAGGCCGCGGAGCCGTTTGAACGGGCGGCGGAGGGGGCGGCGGAGGCGGCGGGGGGTGTGTGTGTGTGTGTGTGCGCGCGTGAGGAGGAGACCGAGAGAGAGAGAGAGAAAGAGAGAGAGAAAAAAAAGAGGGGGTTTCTGAGGAGAAAAAGAGTCGAGAGAGAGAGAGAGAGAGAGAGGGCGGGAAAGGCCGACCCGGCGCCGCTCGGTCCTGTCAGTCGGTCGGTCGGTCGGTGGGTCACACACACACCCGTCTTGAACACACCCGGGGTTCGGGGCCATGAGTTCGCCGCCGGACGTGCGGCGGCTGAAGGTGAACGAGCTGAAGGAGGAGCTGCAGCGCCGGGGCCTCGACACCAAGGGCCTGAAGGCCGACCTGCAGGAGCGGCTGCGGGCAGCGCTGGAGGCCGAGCAGCGGGAGGGCGCCGGAGAGGGAAGGAGCAGCACGCTCCTCTTGGTCCTGAAGGCGACCCCCAGCCACTTGCCGTTCTTCGAGAAAGACATTTCCACCTCCTCGCCCGCCTCGAAGTCCTGCAGAAATCAAGCGTGCGTTCACTCCCGGCTGCCCAGTCATCTCCAACTGGTTAAGTTTCTTCAAACAGATAATAATAGCAATCCTCGCATTTGACCCGGCGCCCGACTGCGTCGCTGAGACGCCTCAAAGCGCTCCACAGGATATGCTGTGAGGTGAACTGACTGGATATTTTGCGGGCGAAACGCGGCAGCCAATTGCGCACGGCGGCGTCCCACGCACAGCTGTGGATCGAGCGACCAAATTATTATTTTTTTTTAATTAAAAAGGGATTATCATCCCCGGAAGAGCGATCTTCCGACCGACTAACAGAGGCGTGTGGAGTAAGGACGTTTCGCCCCGGCGGCACTCGAACCTGGGTCCGCTCGCTTGCGAGGCGAGTGTGACAACCGCTGAGCTACACGACTCCACCAAGTGAGCCAGGCTGACAATCGCGGGCATGAGGAAAGAGCGGGGGGAGGGGGGGTAAGGGTCTGTGAAGTACTCTGATCCGTGGGTAGATGACTTGGAGCAGAGAACCGACGGGTTGGGAGTAAAATAATCCCCGTTACTGGGAAGAGTGGAAGCCAAATGCACGTGATTTGTGTTCGATGCTTACGTGGCTTCACGAGGCGCTAAATTTTTTTATTTTTTTTACTCGTCGACACTTACGATGTAGCATCCGAGGATGTCGTTCTCAGCAAACCGCTCTCCGTAATTTTCAAACCTGCAGTTGGTTGACTTCTTGGCTGTTCCTCCGTAACCAAACGAGAACTCCTCTTCCCCTGGAGATGCACAGAGCCATTTTGCTGTGAGATCATTCTTATAATAACAACAATAATAACCTTCGCCTTTAGATACAGCGCATTATCACGGGTTCGAGACGTCCCGGTGCGCGTCACAGGATACACTGCAAAGTGAATTGACTGGATATTTTGTGGACGAAACGCGACAGCAGCGTCTCACAAACAGTCGGGGATGGAGCGACCGAATTATTATCATTATTATTATTTTTGGGAGGAGTTATTACCCTCAGGGATCCACCAATCGACTAACAACCGGGTTCCTACTTACTGCAAAGCTAAACAGAGGCGTGTGTGCAGTATGTGATTTGAACCCACGTCCTCTCGCTTGCGAGGAGAGTGATCTAACTATTGAGCTACAGGACTCCGCAGTCCTGTCCTGAACTTCTGTATCTGATTCAGTGTCATGACCATGTCGTCGAGGCGTTTAAAGCACCCGACAGGATATACCGTCAAGTGGGGGCAATTGTATTTTGGGGGCAAAATCTGCGGACAAAATCTCTGCAACACTGTTAGAAACAACCTATGAATCTCTCACGGCCACGTGGTCTCTCTATCGGCCGGCGCTAGAATCGATTTGACCAACGACCGGATGAACGCCGACTGGAGTCAGGGCGCGGGGTAACCAAATGCTCTTACCTAACTGAGTGTTACAGGAGTCGAGCGACCAGCCGACACGGACCACATGCGGGTCGGGTTCCGTTACCGGGAGGTGTTTGACGGCCATCTCTTCGTTAATCTGCGCGGAACAAAGTCAAAGTGCGGTGAACTGACAAATCAGCGCTCCGAAGGAAAAGGGCTCAGGGACGAGTTATCAGGAGGGGCGAGTTACTAGGAGGGGCGAGTTAGACGCCTGTGTAAATAGGCAAACCATACGCGGCCAGGATATCGACAGCGTGGCTTCTTAAGTGGATGTGACAAGTTAAGCCGGGACCATAGAATCAATTAGTACAGCATAGAAGGAGGCCATTCGGCCCATCGTGCCTGTGCTGGCTCTTTGGAGAAGCTGTCCACTCAGGCCCACTACCCCGCTCTTTCCACGCACCCTCGCACATTTCTAGTCTTCAAACATCTATCTAATTCCCTTCTGCAAGTGGCTATTGAATCTGCTTCCACCACCCGTTCAGGCAGCGCATTCCAGACCGGGTAATCTCCAGAGGAGTTGAGCGTGGTTCCTTCCTCCCAAGACGAGCAACTATTAGCTGAGGTTCGTAACGGGAGAGAGGGGGGGAAAAAAAATCCAACGGCAAACCCATCCACAGATAATAGAACCACGACAGTACGAACGTTAAGTCACCGTTAACATTTACCATAAGCACACGGGCTTCGGAAAGAGACAAAACATCCGTTAAGTTAAAGAAACGCGCCATAAAGCAGCCCTCAGTAGAAGCAGATGCGTTTGGGACGAAGCGAGGGGAGGGAAGAGGAAATTAAAATGAAGTACCTTAACTTCGAAGCAAACTTTTCCCTTGTTGACCCCGTACGTTGTCCGTGCTCCTGACCACAGATAAGCAAACCCTTCAATGGTCAAGGGGTAGCCACTGAAACGGTCTCGAGCCACCTTAAAGTGCAGGTCGCAGTTATCTAGGACGGAAAGCAGGAAATTATTTAAGAGTCATTCAACCATTCCCGTTCTCTGGAACTCCATCCCAGATTCCCTCCCGTATCTGGAGGACACTGGGAGGAACGACCTTTTCTTGCTAACAGCGTTGCGGGTCGTTAAGTGAATTGCCTTCCGCCAGCACGGCGACATCCTCTAGTACCTCGCTAGAGTGTCGGCCTGGACTCTGAGCTCAAGGTGTTTGAGCCCACAACCTTCCGGCGTAGAGGCGAGAGCATTAGCAGCTGAGCCGGGCTGACCCCTAAATTGGTGACACGCTAAATTAAAGCAGCTCGGATTAGAGCGAGGAGTTGACGATGATCGTCTGTCCGCTTAACTTACAAGTGTCAATAGCCACAGTCGTCTCATCGAAGTCCTCTTCGTCATCCTCCGCCGGTGGCTGGGGAGACTTCGCTCTACCGGAAAAGAACAAGCAATTGTCAGGTACAATTCTTCTGCCTCTACCCTGCGGTTACAATGGCAGTAACACCAATTGAGAGAGCCAATTAATAATAATCCTTATCTTCCATATGTCACGTGGTTCCAAGGGTTGCTCGCTGAGACCTCACCCAAGTGGCCGCTGTTTGGTGTGTGAGCCCTGGCGGTGAGCCGTGACAACTGTACAGGGGTAAGGGTCAGTCCTGTAGCTCAGTGGTTAGAGCACTCGCTTTACAAGCGAGAGACCTGAGTTCAATTCCAGGCAGAGGGCGAAACCTCGGGCAAGTTTCCTTACTCCACACAGAGCCTAATAATAATCCCTCCAAAACCAAAAACAATAATAAATTGGTCATTTTCAATCTACGACTGTTTGTGGGACATTGCTGTGTGCAATTGGCTGCCGCGTTCGCCCACAAATATACAGTCAATTCACTTTACAGTATATTCTGTGAAGCGCTTTGGGACGTCCTCCCGACGTGAAAAGCGCTATATCAAATGCAAGGATTATTATTATTATTATCACAGGCGACTGATTACTCACCGGCCATAACTGCGGTCTTCTCTGTACTCGTAGTATCCGTGTCCCTGCTCACTAAACGGCCTCTTCCTGCTTGGCTGCGTCTCTTTGATCTCCGCCTCACTCAGGGGCTCTTCCTTTACCTCCGCCTTTTGCCGTTCTGCACAAGAAGCGTTAAGCGGCTGTGACGACGGCAACAAGACAGTCTGAAGTAGATTTGCCGCTCTGCGCGCCACGTAAAAGCTGCTCACAGTTCATTCGTCTTTCCTACTCGTTAAAAGACCCCAATTTCAGAGCTTGCCGAGGCTAATTGCAAGTGAATTTGATTTGGTTAACTGGACGACACATCTCGAAACAATCGATGACTGCCCTTGTGAAGAACATGGGCAAGATTAAACCGGGTACAAAATTAGCAGGTACGATTAGAACGGTCTATCTTTATATCCCACAAGACCAGGTGCCTTATTCGTTGACCAGAATAGGTGAGGTGGACGCCAACTGGACAACATTAAACAGGTTAAGGAATAATAATATAATGTAATAACAATCCTTGCACTTGACATAGCGTCTTAATCACGTCTTCAAGACATCTCAAACAAGATTTCGACTTGCGAAGCTGTGGTTCACTGAAAAACGGGACCGGAAAAGTGGGCATAGAGACCGGGAATGCGCTCCACTGTGGGAAGAGAGAGAGAAAAAAATGTCTCTTGTCCAATTTTTCATTAAAATCCCAGATGGTTAACAGCTCGTTGCACGTTGCGCGGCATATCGTGGGATCGGGCAAGGTTAGTACGCACTTTCCCTCTCACTTTCCGCACCAATTAATTCCTTCAGTCCCAAACCAGCTCAACGAATATCGGATTCCAGTCAACTGCGAACATCAGCAGCGAGGCAGCAGTATGCGAAAGGCAGCGGCTGCCTTGGGAAGAAAGTCTTCAGAAGGACTCGCGAAGGTGCACCTCTCTAACCGCCCTTTCCGAAACAGCTACAGCGACAACTTGCACTGCATGTCGTGCCTGACGTGCGAGGTCGCGACTCAAGAGCGCTCAACGGCGACGGAGCTTGACGCTGATCCGAGGAAAGAGCGGAAGCGCCCGCAATAATTATCATCATTATATTATTATTATCATCACGGGCTTGGTCGATGGAGGATGGTCTTCGGGTGCGAGCAGAAGACGTACAAGGCAGAGGGGGGGGGGACCGAGGTCGCGAGCTCCAGAGCTCAGTGTGAGAATACAGCTTTTGGAGGGCATAATGTTATTAATGGCCACCAAGACCATTCCATTGGATCGGCCAAGAAACTACAGTATCAGGAACTTACCCGAACCCTGCTGTTCGGCTGTCTGCTTAGCGAATGGCCTCTCAAAGCTCTCCTTCACGTCGTCTGGCTCAGGCGCCGCAAAATCGCCACCTTCCTGGTCGAACAGGTTCGCGTCCGCACTAAAATCCTCTTCGCCGTCAGCAGCCTCAATCCCTGTAAATTTTTTTTTTTTTTTTGGGGGGGGGAAAAAAAAACCCACGTCAGTCTCCCCAAAGCGAGCGAAATCCTCACCCGCCGTCGCGTTCCGACGCCGATCGCGGTTGGTAACGGCGCCCTTCGCCGCCGGGAGGACGTTTCAAAGCGCTTCGCGGCCTTTACTGCGAAGTGCCGCCACTATTTTTTTGTGGCCACGTTACCTTCTAAGTGATAATCTCGCGGGAGCAGTCTCACACTTACGGTAATCGTCGTCCTTGCATTTGACGTAGTGCCTGATCGAGCCTTCGGAGAGGTCTCGAGTCGCTTCACGGCAAAGTGAATGGACTGATTATTTCGTGGGGGGGGAAACGCAGCAGCCAATGGCGCACAGCGGTGTGTGTCCCCCCCCCCCCAACGTAGCCCGTGGATTGAGTGACCAAATTATTAGTAGAGATACACCAATGCTTAGCCACAGACGTTGCACTGTACGTTCCGTCGCTTCGTGAACCCGATTTGCACCGTCGCGGTTATGAACAGAGGAACCGAAAGCAGTGGTACAGTCTGAATCACCGGTGTCGCAGAACCGGTACACGCACACACACACACGCACACATACACACACACGCACACACACGCGCGCGCGCCTCGAGGAAGCAAACCTCGGCACACGCCCAACCGGACGGGGAAGGGTCTGTCTGGCGGGGACGCGGAACGCCGGCGCTCCGCACGGACACGGGAGCATCCGACGCACAACAGCCGTTACAGCACAACGAACCCCGCGAAGCGCTTCGGGACGTCTCGAGGACGCGATAAGGCGCTGTATCGAAACACGGGGATTATTATTTTCCTTGAGGGGGAAGGGGGCCGGGGGTGTGGGGGGGGCGTGGGTGGGGGGTGTGTGGGGGGGAGACGTCAAAACAGTTTGACGAGACAAACAGAGTATTAGCATTGAATTATTTTAAGCAGATTGGATCAAGTGCATAATACAGCCACAGTAACTCTAACTGTTTCAACAACAACAACAACGACGACGACTCGCATTTACACCGCATCACTCGCGCGGAGGGTTTTACAGTCGCGGAGTCCGACCCCCCACCACCCCCCACGCCCCGAGCCGGGTGGGGTGGGGGGGGGGGGGGGAGGCGGAGGGTTCAGTTGACCGCAGGCGCCATCGGAAAGGAAGGTCTCCTTTTTGGTGTCAACTGGAATATTAATATTAGAGTAGTAAAACACTCGATGTAAACAGAATCAGTGTCGTTGCTAATATCGGAGCCTTAACCCGACACGGAAAGGGGAAGGGGGGGAGCGGTGGTGGGGGGAGCGGTGGGGGGGGACGGAGGGAGACCTCGAGGCCCCGGTGGTGCCTGTGTTGGGTTATTTATTATTGATATATATATATATACACATAGAAATGTGTGTGTATTACACATATACATAGAATTGCAGCCGCATTCGATCCGGTGCCCTCTCGGAGTCGGCCTCCGCCACCGCGAAGCGCTCCGCGGCGCCGCCCCCCCCCCGCGAGGCAGGTGTGAGTTGTCGCCGCCGCAGCGACGCCGCGACAACGACAACGCCGCCGCTGACGACGACGACTCGGGGACCCGCGTGGGGCGGCGCCACGGGGAGCGTTGGCCTCGCGGGAGGGGTGCGCACCGCCGCGGCCGCGGCTCTCCGGGGGTGGGGGTGGGGGGGGGGGTGGGGGGGCGAAGGCGGCCGCCAATCCGGGCGGAGCGGCGTCTCTCAACAACGCCGACGACGACAACGCCGACGACGCGTAACGACGACGACGACAACGACCACCACCACCGCCGCCGACGCCGACCCTCGCACTCGACGCGACGCCCGATCACGTCTCCCGGGCGCCTCGCGCTGCGGGCGGAGTGTAGTGACTGTGCGATCGGGGCCGAGGGGAGGGGTGGGGGGGGGGGACGGGACTGGGTCAAAGGGCGCCGAGTGTAGTGACTGTGTACTGTGCGTGTGGAGTGGCGGTGGATTGGGAGAGCAGTTACCACTGCGGTCCTGTCACTCACCTTCCTCTTCTTTCCCCTCACCATCCTCCTCCTCTTCCTCCTCCTCCTCCGGCGGCGGCGGCGGCGGCTGCGGCCCCTCTCCCTC